ACTTGCATGTGATATTAATGATTTTACATTCTGTTGGATCCCCTAACTTTGGAATAGACACAAATGCAGATCTCTCCCAGTTGATTGGCCAGATAGCTATCTTCCATATTTCTTGGCACAGACAAGTGAGCACTTCCAGAGTTGCAGTCATATGTTGTTATTATTAAGTGCTATTGAGTCACTTCTGACTCATAGAGACTCTGTATAGGGTTTCTGAGGGGCTGCTGGTGAGTTTGAATCAACGACCTTATGGTTCAAAGCAACCTCGTGTGGTCCAAATGTGTTGAAACACGTCAATTGGGACAGTAACAATTCCTGAAGCCTTGTTTTTTTTCACCAGTGCCTTTAGCCCACCTTAGTTGTTCTTCCTTCAATACCAATGGAGTGGGGGGAGGGGAGGGGAAGGTGGAGCACCAGGTAGGAAATAGGCACAGGATAGTGGCGTACAGAAGGAGCTCTGGTAGCGTAGTGGTTACGAATCGGGCTGCGAACCTTCAGGTCAGCGGTTCGAAACTACCAGCCGCTCCGCGGGAGAAAGATGAGGCTTTCTACTCCCGTAAAGATTTACACCCTCGGAAACCCTGTACAGGGTCGCTATGGGTCGGAACCGACTCGACGGCACTTAACAACAACAACAACAGTGACCTACAGGGTAGGGAATAGACACAGGATAGATAGTTTGGGTGCTGGGGTAGGGGTATACGCTAGAAGGGGAAGGGAGAATAGCTAGGCAGGTTTACACGGGCTAATAGGACAGAGGTAAATAACGATGTAAACACAACCATGGAACAACAGTGCTCGGGATACAAAGATTGAGGCATGGCTTGAATGGGTAAAAGTGGGGAAATGATGTTAAGATGCTTGGCTGTCTGTTGAATCTTGGTTTCCCTTGCCTTACTATTGTAAAATAGACACTTGAAGGAGACAGAGAGGAATAGCCAGAAAAATCATCAGAGAAAGCTTGTAAGTCCATCTTCAGCCTATAACTGAAATATCTAAAATGGGGCTAGAACTTGCCCAGTGAAGGAGGCTCCCTGCAGAGCCTTTGCATTGTACAAGACCATAGGTAGAATCTTGATCCCCATCCAGAATCTTCTGAGGTGGGACATTTCCACTTGAAATGACAAGCAGACCAGTCTGGAGCAGAGAACAGAAGATACTTCTTGAAAGAAAGACCAGCAGGAAAAATCAAAAACAGTAACAGCAGTCCAATTGACTGCTGTAGGACAAGCAAGTTTTTCCCCAGGGAGCCATCAAGGCAAGTGGTCAGGTCCCATCGAAGCAAACCCCTTTCCAAGACTGAAACTCAATGGAATACACTAGTAAGTATATGGTCCTGCTGCTGACCACATTGGTCACCTATAAGGGGAAGTCAGGGAAAAACAGCAGTGAAGTTGTGAGCTAAGTCCGACCATATTCAATAGACTCCTATCAACCTGGGGTGGGGGAGCAGGCGTGTGGGGTGTACCCTTTGATTGTTTGATGATGCATGCAGGGACAGTGATTGTTTGATGATGCATGCAGGGGATTGTGACCTTTGCAATGAAATAAAATGTGATAGGATGAATGTAAAGATAATGTTCACCCATGTAAACTAACACATAATTCACAATAAAAAAAGAACAGCCTACATTTACCCTGACTTATTAACACAACAAAGACAACCCATTCCCAAATGGGTGTATAACCACAACATTGGTTATGTGCCTTCTAGTCAGTTCAAATTCATAGGGAACCTGTATAGGGTTTCCAAGGAGCAGCTGGTGGATTTGAACTGCCTACTGTGTGGTTAGCAATCCAGTGTTTATCCTACAATGAGGTTAGGATTTACATAATCAGATTATAAAACAGAGGACAACTACCCAGTATTGGGAATCATGGCCTAACCAAGGTGACTCACATTTTTTTTTTTGGGGGGGTGGGACACATTATCATTCCAGGCCCAAAAAATAACCTTCCAAAACACATGAAATGTAAAATAAAACTAGCTTACAGTAAAAGCAGGAATGATGTGGCACATACATAGCCTATATAAAGTAGAAATCATGTAGGTACAGTGTAATTCCAGGGAAGGAATTGGCAAGTTCTACTCTCACTGCTCTGGATGTGTACTGCCTCTTTACTGGCTCACTGCAAAACAGATGCAGAATGCTAGTTTTACATTTTGTGTCTC